AATTGCACGAAAGTGAAAAAGCAGCTTGGAGATTTGGCCGGAGAGCTCTTCAATAAGTTATTTATGTGTTTGTTTAAAAGCATCAGTAAGCCACATAATATTTTAAAACTCTCTAAGCAATGTACAATATCAAAGCAAACCGTACCATTACAACAAAAATACAACCAGAAACCAATAAAACACCAGTGTTAAAGCACATAAAGACAAATAAAAGCAAATAAAACAGGAATTTTTTTGGGGGGGGGGTTCAAATAAATAAAGCAGGGTCCAATCTTATGGGTCAGAAAAAGCCTGTGCAAAAGGTTAGCCTTTACAGGACATCCGAAGCAACTGATGGTTGCTGCTTCACACTTGACAGGGGGCTAGGCATTCCATAATACAAGGGCAATAGCAGATAATTCCAATGTTTGTGTCTCTGCTCTGTTGGAGGTAGGACCCTATATATACTAATGGGTGGTTTCATGAACTTTAACTTTCTCGCGGGCCAAATCTTCACATTTCTCCCCCACCCCACCCCAAACTGTTTTAAATCTAGAGGAGTTTGTGGAGCAGACTGGGAATTTTGCACATGCAACTATTGAGAGGAAATGTCTTAGGGGAGGGGGGCATCCTGTGTGCTAGTGAGGGTGGACACTTTCTTTCTGTCCCTCAGAGTCATGTCTCTGTTAAAACAGTCCCCAACATAACCCTAGCATGTCTGAGAAAGCTGCTTGTGAGTCGCTTTGAGACTGAGTAAAACCTGCCCCTCACTAGTCGCGAGAGCCATCAGAGGCAGGAAGCAGACTTTGCTCCTACCCACATCCCTTGGCTCTCTACTGTATACATGAGTGGTTGACACTGACTTCTGAAGAACAATTGGGTCAAACCTGCGCTGCACATAGGAGCTGGGACTCCCTTTCTTATGTCTCACCCTCCAGGGGACCTTCCACAACTCAGGCCCTCTATCCACATGCATCTATCCATCATAACGAGGCAGCTTTATTTAGTTAATTAAAACGATCATTTGTTTTCCCTGAAAACTTCAGTCAGCTGCACAAATATATTTCATGTTTCATTCTAAAGATGGGTCTTTTTCCTTAGAATGCATCATGGAAAATGTGATTGCAGGTAATTAATATTTTCAGGGCGGGTCGCTAGCTGTCGCTGAATCTGACTATATTCCTAAGACTACAGTGGTACCTCGGGTTAAGTACTTAATTCGTTCCGGAGGTCCGTTCTTAACCTGAAACTGTTCTTAACCTGAGGCACCACTTTAGCTAATGGGGCCTCCTGTTGCTGCTGCGCCGCCGGAGCACAATTTCTGTTCTCATCCTGAAACAAAGTTCTTAACCCAATGTACTATTTCTGGGTTAGCGGAGTCTGTAACCTGAAGCGTATGTAACCCGAGGTACCACTGTATGTTCTTGTTGCCTATGGCATCCAGGAGGTTTGCGAGTGTGCAAGCTAATTCTTATTAATTATGTGCTTTCTTCCTATTAGGGAACTTGCCTGGATAAGTTATTTGCTCTTGCTATTGTCGCTGGTATAGCGTATTTTAACTTCTGGTTTCTTCCTGCGTACCATAAATTGCTCCTGCTGTTACACTGTGTGCAGTTCTCTGTCTCATGGAAACAGTTAGCCTAAGTGCCAGGTTTCAGAGGCTTTCTTTCCCAACTCTGCAGGAAATAGCACATTCTTTTAATCCTGTGCGAAAGGCATGCTTTCTGTTTCATTGTTTCTACTCTTGTTAAGAGTCCAAAATAACAGGGGGGTATTCATTATTACTTTTCTCCCCCCCCCTTTTTTTTGTTTGTTTCTTTTGCTGAATATACATTCTTTTTTTATAACATGTGTAGAATATGCATGGCATGATAAAGACATGGAGAAAGGCATCGAGCAGCCTTTCCAGGGAGTTTTGTATCAGTCTTGTAACAGCTAGTAATTTTACTTATCACCTGGATTAGTGCCAGTGTCTGCATGGCTTCCTTGCCCAGCCATTTATCTCCAGAAATGCCATATGAATTACAATGGAAATGAATAGTCTTGAACTGAATTTTGGGTTTAAAGGGTTTGTAGGAGAGTTATGTTCATCGTTTTCGGCTCTTTGTGTGTTGATTTGTGAAATGTGGTGGCACCTAAGTGCTTAAATCATTTTGAAATGACTTGGTTTATTTATAGCTCGAGTATTTTAGGGTAATGGTGAAATTTGGGCAGAGCCTAAATTTCCACGAATTTCACGTTTTGCATCAAAACTTGTCGTTTGACAACAACAAAAATTGGCAGGGTACTCATTAAAAAAACACCTCATGCTTTTCATAATGAAAGTAACATAGCAGTAGAGAAGATGTTGTGATTTTGACTGACTGAATTACAGTGTGTACACTTTGCACATATGACAAGGAATACTATGTTGAGGTAAAAAGTTGCAGTATGCTAGCATAGGATTCCAGAAGCTGGGCAGCACAACATGCTCAGCACAGCTGGGAAAGATTCAGCTACGTTGTGATAGACTGAAGGAGTGAGAGGTGAGTCCTCAGTTTGAGGAGAGAGCGTAAGGACCAGATAACATTCTGTTTTCTTCAGAATTCTATTATGGCAGAAGTAGAGGGGAGACTGAAATTACTCTTCCCCTTTCACAACAAATAACAGTTCTGAAATTCATTGGGCTTGCTCTGATTCCAATCTTTTTCACCTGTGCTATGTCTGTGCCACTATATAGTTAGATTAAGCTGATGTTCAGTAGTAATGGGCTCTGTAAGACAGAATCTACCAACTTGTTTATTGGTGTTTTTTTATGGAATTTTTCCAGAGAGGTAACATGGGGCCAACTTGCTTCATTTTTATTGTGTTCCAGAAACTTCCAATATACCTTAACAGTTCCCCTGGCAATCTCTGCCCACTAATATAAAATGATTTCACCCAGGGTCTGGATAAATAAATAAAAATACACATTGTCTGAAGTTCAACAGACCCCATTCCACCTGAAGATTGCAGACTATTCTATGAATCTGTGCAGAATAAAATGAAAGCAGTACATACCACAAACCTAAAAATAATAAACAGGGAGTTTCTTTCAAATCACCTGTGTAGTCCTTTGAAAACAATAGCTTTCACCTAATGATAGAGAAGAGGAAATGCTAACTAGCCAACTATCATTATCTCCATACTGTGCTTATTTATTGTGTTTGGATCAAACTATGTTTGCCATTTCTTACACATCAGAATAGTGTTCCATGATTTATTGGGGGGGGGGGCTACAAAATTCCTATCATGCGAAAGGAAGGTTGATTTTCTCCATACAAAGACGAAACAACTCTCAGTTTCTCATGTTTCCTGAACTAGAGTACAATCAGATCTTAAATACTCTAGTTGTACAATTTAACATCTATAATTGCTTTTCAAACTGCATTCTAGGGATCTCTCTAGCTCTCCCATGGACAGCATGAACACCAGAGAGCTAGGGTTTGACCTTACTTCCTTCCAACATCTCTCACTCAGCACCAAGAGACCTCTGTAGAGAGGTGCCTGGTATCCTGAACATGCAGGGTTCTCCACTTATAGGCTCAACTCTGCAAAATGCCTCCCCTACATGTGAATGGTGGTTGGCCTATCTGCTTCCCTTGATTCTTAATCATGTAAGTGGGGCAATGCCCAAACAGGGCATGCATAGTTGGGAAAGAATAGCCTTCAGGCCTGTCAGAGATCCTGTAATTCCACCCAAACAGTTCAAAATATGATGTAAGTTCATACATGAAAGGAAAGGGGCACAGCTGGGCTCAAGAATTATATACGGGGTTGCCTATGGTAGTGGTTTTGGAATAGCTAGACTGGTGACTGGGAGTGGCCACCGAGACCACAAAACACTAGCCCTGAAAGCCATACATTGGCTCCCAGTACGTTTCCGAGCACAATTCAAAGTGTTGGTGCTGACCTTTAAAGCCCTAAACGGCCTCGGCCCAGTATACCTGAAGGAGCATCTCCACCCCCATCGTTCAGCCCAGACACTGAGGTCCAAGGGTCTTCTGGTGGTTCCCTCACTGCGAGAAGTGAGATTACAGGGAACCAGACAGAGGGCCTTCTCGGTAGGGGTGCCCACCCTGTGGAAAGCCCTCCCATCAGATGTCAAGGAAATAAACAACTACAGTCATACCTCGGAAGTCGAACAGAATCCGTTCCAGAAGTCCATTCGACTTCCAAAACATTTGGAAACCAAGGCACAGCTTCCGGTTGGTTTCTGATTGTGCAGGCGTGCTGGAAATGATAGTGGAAGCTGCACCAGATGTTCAGCTTCCCCCCAAAAAATTTGAAAACCAGAACACCTGCTTCCAGTTTTCGACTCCAAAGGCGTTTGGGAGTCGAGGTACGACTATACAGTGGTGCCTCGCAAGACGAAATTAATTCGTTCCGCGAGTTTTGTTGTCTTGCGATTTTTTTCATCTTGCGAAGCACGGTGTCGGGAAAGTTTTGGAAAAGCTTCAAAAATCACCAAAGTCTTTAAAAACCTCAAAAAAGGCTACCACACCGCGTTCTATGAGTTGCTCCTCGAAGTCAAGTTGCAACTGTATTAACGGTGTTAAGAAAAGGAAACAAACTTGCAAGACGTTTCCGTCTTGCGAAGCAAGCCCATAGGGAAAATCGTCTTGCAAAACAGCTCAAAAAACAAAAAACCCTTTCGTCTAGCGAGTTTTTTGTCTTGCGAGACATTCGTCTTGCGAGGTACCACTGTAGCTGACTTTTAGAAGACATATGAAGGCAACCCTGTTTAGGGAAGTTTGAAATGTTTGATGTTTTATCGTGTTTTTAATATTCCGTTGGAAACGACCCAGAGATGGGTGGGGTATAAATGAATTATTCTATTCTATTCTATTCTATTCTATTCTATTCTATTAATAACATCTTCATTCTTATCATAACACTGTCCATTCAAAATGCCTGATGTCTCTGATCCATAAACAAAACAGAAAAGCATAGGTGGAAATGGAACTCTCTTTTGTACTTTCATCTGCTATTTTATGCAATAGGCCTCCAGTGGTGCAACGGGTCTGTGCGTCTGACTGTTAACCAGAAGGCTGGTAGTTCAAGCCCACCCAGGGACTGCTATGGGCAGAATTCCTGCATTGGAAGGGGTTGGACTAACATGACCCTGGGGGTCCCTTCCAACACTACAATTCTTTGTTTTTATTATTTTTGGCTTCCTTAATCTGGCCTTGCAAACTGAAGGGAATGAAAGCTTTTGCTTTCTGGGAATTATGATGTGTGCTTTTGACTGTGCATTGGTATTGCCTCACTGTTCTGTAACTTACATAGTTTAACCACCTTTCATCCCTCTCTCTCTCCCCTCCCCACCTTGGGTTGTGCTATATGGTTGTGGCTGTGGGAAGAGGTTACTGCCCTTGCCAACTCCTAGGGTTGAGAAGAATCAGTGCTCTTATAATTTTGCATCGGGAGAATTCAACTTAAATAATCAAGTAATGAGGAGCTGAGGAAACTTAAAAGAGATTTTCCAAGGCCATATGGCAAGTCTTGTAGAAAAGATACTAAAGAGCATCAAGAATTAGCTCCTGTTTTCCTTGGGGTTGCATCCGACTCTGAATTCTGTGTTTTTACAGCACTAACAGGCTGATGTTTACAACCTCTGGGCATATTTTTATCGTGGCCTTTAGTTGCTAATTATGTTCTAAGCTGCGTAATTGGTTCTTTAGCCCCAGTTTGAGCAGTTTTGCACTATGGTGAACTGTTGTGTTTTTTCCTTGACTTTTAACAGCCTTTTCATATAATACTGTCCAAAATTATTTGGTTGTTTTAAACAGTGTTAAACTGAATTGTATTGTGTAACTTGTGAATTGCCTTGGGAAGAATGGGGTTTTCCATTGAAATGTATACAAATTTGTTAAATGATTGATTGATTGATTGATTGGATGGATGGATGGAGCAATCAATAAATGATACTGGGATGCTGGCATCACAGTCCTATACATAATCAGAAATAAGGTTCATTTAAGTATCACCATAGCTGTCTCCCTTTTTAAAGAAAGTATCAGCAACTTCCCAATTTTACTCTGTGCCTCCTCGGCTTTCCATTTCATCCAAATCTGTCATCAGTTGTGTCTCACTGAGGCGATCATTTTAGTCAGCAGTGTGCTTTGATTGCTATAATTGTGCTACAGAGAGAGAGAGTGAAACCTACATGGCAATTTAGATGCCTGTTTGATGGGGTTTGAAATAGTGGACCTAGTTAACCCCACAGATCAAGCTTTGTAGAAGAAATTAAAATTATACATTAATTTTAATAGTTCTATTGAATACTCCTATGGCCCATGACATCAGTTTAGCTGGAAAGATAGCTTGCAAATGACTGCCAGCAGAACCAGTGAATTAATCCACCAGTGAAAAGAATTCTAAAACTAAGAATGCACATTCTGATTGGTACACCTCATTGTTACAGCATCTTGGTTTCCTACAGAACTGCAATCATGCTCAGTGTTCAGGTTCCTGAGAAACTCAGTTTTCTAAAGAGTATGGAATCGAAGAGTGGTATGAAACAGGGCTGTATTCTTTCTCTTTGGCATATTGTTCTCCTTGTTGCTCTCTTAGACCTTGAGCTCTACTGAAGACGGTATGTACTTTAATTCAAGGAGAGATAGGAGGTCTGTTCAACCTGGCATCTCTGCGCCAATAACAAAGTGTGGCGGGTCCTTATCTGAGAGATATTGTTTGCAGGTGATGCAGCCTTTACAGTCCTGCATCACCGAGGAAGCTCCACAGAGTCTCATCAACCATTTTGCCCAAGCCTGCAGGGAATTCAGTCTTACTATCAGCCTGACAAAGACCAACATCCTGGGTCAGGACATCATCAGCACTCCACACATCAGCATTGGTGACCACACTCTTGAGGTGGTAGATGCTTTTGTCTACCTGGGATCTGCCATAACCTCCAACCTCTCCATCAACACTGAGCTGGACAAGCATATGGGCAAGGCAGATGAAGGTCTACAAGGCTTCCCTGCTGAGCACACTGCTTTATGGAAGTGAGTCATGGATAACTTACAACTGTCAGGAGCAATGCCTCAACGCCTCCCACATGTGCTGCATCAGGAAGATTTTAGGCATCACATGGCAGGACAGAATCTCAAACAAAGGTGTGCTCTCCCAAGCCCATATTCTTTCTCCTGTCTCAGCAGCATCTATGGCTTGGTCATGTCCACAGAATGGAAGGTAGAAGGGTCCCTGAGGACATGTGGTACGGGGAGCTGGCTTCAGGCACCAGGTCCATCAGCAGACCAACTATGCATTGCAAAGATGTCTGCAAACGTGGCATGAAGATCAGTGCATTGCTTGGAGACAGTCACATTGTGCATCCATAGCAGTGAGCAGAGGGCGAAAGACCGCCGGGAAGAGCAGAGAGAGAAGAAATGCCATGGTGCATCTGCAGCAGCGCAACCGAACACCTTCATCTGCCCCAGCTGTTGCAAAGCATGTCTCTCTCATATCAGTCTCTACAGCACAGCAGGTGCTGTAACCTTCCAACAGTTTGACCTCACCCTCAAAGGCACACTGCTCCATCGTCTGTCGGGTCAGACAGATGTCAACCACGGGTGGAATTCTGTTTTGTGCTGTTATGAACTTTGAGTTAGCACAAGCATTGCAGTTTGTCAGATGGAACAATCTCCCGTTATCCCGCTGGGCTGTTCCGGGAGTTCTCCAGATCCCCCAGAGCCAATTTCGGGAGTGCAGTGGGATGGGCAGGGTGGAAACCCCGTTGTGTAAGTGGAGGTCCTTGCCCAGGGCTTCTGCTGATGGGGTCTGTTGGGCAAATCTCGCCCCATGTTTCCAGTCCTCACAATTATGGGAAACAGTTTAAGAAATTGAAGCTGCACCACAGGGAAAACGAAGCAGGTGCTCTTCCATTGAGCTTCAGCCCTTCCCAAAGCAGTTTCTCCCAAAGCAATTCCTCCAATGGCCCAGCACAACTTGGCAGACCAGGGGAGGACCATGGCAGGCTGAATGTGGTTTGCAAAAGCCTCATTGTGCAGGTGCACCAATGAGAGTAGAAGGTCAGTTCCACCAGTGCTTCACAGCTCTGATGTCACTGCCCCCACACCACCTCAATAAGCAGCACTGATGTCTCTGTAGGGAGGGTGCTGGCTGCAACTGAGATGGAAGATCCAGGCCAGTCAACTCCCTTGTGTGCTACTTTTCTGCTTGCAGGGTTTTTTAAACATAACAATGATGATGATGATGCAGGGATTTGGTCAAAAATACTATGTTTCCCCTACCTGCAGACTGAAGTCCTGTGAAGTCCATTCTACCACTGTGGATCACCACCACCCTATTCCCCCAGTCTACCTGAGGCCACCCATCAAATGTACAGCAGTCAAGTATAGAGGCTTAAGTGTAAGATGCACATTGTAGACATAATCATACATTCTGAAATTCTTTAATACATAGTTCTCCTAATAGATGTGTAATTTATGTCTTCATAGCTTTTTGAGAATTGGGAGTATAGTTGTTCCACCACCACTGCCCCAGCAAAGTAGGAAATCCTTCAATTTTCTGCAGCTGTATAAAACTGCGTTTGATTACTTTGTGTATATAAACTGTGTTCAGCATTATAAAGTAAAACTGCCGGATTTGGGGAATCATTATGCATCCTCCTTCAGCATTCCCCCCCTTCCCCATCTACATATCTCCTTTCTGCTTTATTTATTTTTTTCCCCAGTAGAGGAGGTAGCAAAACTGCCTTGATTTCTTTGAAATGACATTCTTTTAAATGTGGGCTTGTTTTTATTTCAGTACAATACTAAGAATTTTCTATAGAAAAGAGATGTGAGTATTTGAAATGACACCATAGCAACAAGGCTCAGATTACATTCCAGAGTTGCGTTTTGACATTAAAGTGGTGGTTGTGGGGTGATGGGCTGAGATTTTTAATCGGGGGAAATTCAGATCATTTCCCCCAGAGAATCCAAGGCTTTGAAAAATGCACACACACCCTCATTCTACCAGAGTAGATTGTATTAAGGGGGGGAGGGGCGGAATATGGGCTGACGTTTTTATGGTAGACCTAATGTCACAAAAAAACTGGGTATCTATCCCAAACCTGTCCCTCCTTAGTGTCAGAACTCACTCAGTTTCAGATGAGTGAGGCCTGTAAAGGGAGAGGGAAATGTCGTCCTTATAAACCCAGTATTCCCCAACCTGTTGTTGTTCAACTATCGTTTGACTACAGCTCCCATCTAGGGATATATCAACAATGCCTCACTCTTCCGACATTCATTTGCACTTTCATGAACTATTTTATGTTCCACTGCAGTAGGGAGTTTTTTGTTGTTATTTTTTACAAGTCTTTCTCTGTTTGATTTCCCAAAGATGCAGGAATATATGAATTTTTTTTTACATGTGTCTCATAGCACACTATAAAGACACATACCTCAGCCACCAATTTGTTGTTTAGTCGTTTAGTCGTGTCTGACTCTTCATGACCCCATGGACCAGAGCACGCCAGGCACTCCTGTCTTCCACTGCCTCCCGCAGTTTGGTCAAACTCATGCTGGTAGCTTCGAGAACACTGTCCAACCATCTTGTCCTCTGTCGTCCCCTTCTCCTTGTGCCCTCATGGAACAGGGTTTTGTAGCAGCAGCTCCCCCTCCCCAAAAAAAGAAAAACCTCTCTGAGTCTGTTTCATATCACTATATCATGCAGTATGCCCCAAAATTCTCCCAAGAGATCTTTCTGATTCTTTCGGGAATTTGCAATTAACAATTTTCACATCGCAAATGTAGAACAGAGCTGTCTGAAGAGCTTTACTTTGTGGCCTGAAAAGTATGTTTGATGCTGATATTATTATTATTTTTTACCCCAAAAAATCCTTTGAAGTTAGCTTCAATAGAAACATTTACCAGAAAGGAGAAAAAAAATCTTAAGTATGATCCCAGCGCAGTGACTTTAATTATTTTGATAAAGTAGCTGATTTTAGTCTCGTTGACCTCAGTGGAACTAAAATGACTGAAATCAAAGAACTTTGACATTAACTAGGCTGTGGATTATGTTTGCTAATTTCACTATTTTATTAAAATAAGTATAATTAAAATTTCAT